TTGTTAAATCAGGCCATCCTTTGTTGTATGAGTTGTCGAACGTCGGTGGGGCATTCTGAGTATTTATTAACTGTAGATTGGCTGTCATTATAAATTCTTCTAACGCTGTTCCTTTCGGTGAGGTATCTGGGTATCCCCAAATGACGTTGTGCGCATTTAGGTCTCCACTTATTACGTGAGGAATGGTAGTATGTTTTCTGTGTATTTCTGCTACTATCTACTGCATTGCTGATGTCTTCTGGTGGAGAGCTGTAGACGGATGATAGGATAATCTGGGAGTTATTATAATTCAGAAGAATTGCAACATGATCTCGTGCCTGCTTGATAATGAGTGGGGACCATTGTGGATTACAACAAATGATCGCCGCTCTCGGGGGTAGTTCGTTAAGTTGCGCTTTCCGCTGGAAGATCTTCCATGAGAGTGGTAGGCAGGCTATTGCGCCATTTCTGCAGTAAGGCTCTTGGAGAAGAATGATATCTATCTCATGATCGAGGACATGCTGCACTAGTTGCGTATTAGCTGCTTCTGCCCGCTGGAGGTTAATTTGCGTGCATTTTATGGAGCCTGCTGAAGAATGAGTTAGAATCAGGTTGACTGGGTTGTCGATATTTGTCGGTAGGATCTCTTGTGAGAAAGTGTTGCTTTCTTCAGACGCATTAGGTAGTAACATAGCATTGGTAGGCTGCTGAGATGTTATAGCTTTAGTATTGTGTGTTGCAGCGTGTGTTGTAGACGGCTCTCTGGTACATCGGGCATTCCGGGTGGTATGCCGGATGTTCAAAGTAGTAGGAGGTGCCGTTGCGGTAGTTACAGTCCCCGCAGTTGATACAGGCTGGTGACTCTGCTTGACAGACTTTGGTGTTGTGCGACCCAGCGCAGAAGGCACAGAACTGTTTCTTGCTGCGGCAGAGATCCTGGGAGTGCCCGAATTGCTGGCATCTATAACATCTACGGATTCCCAAGAACTCCGTGATAGTATGAGCCTGCCATGCTGTGAACAGACGTCTGATGTTGATGGCGATTCCAAAGCTCTCCGTGGTACACTCGAGAACCCATTTGACTCTGTTTGCTCGGCGCTCTTTAAGTCGGAACAGGGGTTTGTATACTCTTGCTGATAGACCTGCTGTTGCGCTGAGCTCTGCGATGAGCTGTTCTGGTTTAACATGTTCTGGAACATTATGGATGGCTATTCTCGGCTGCCTCTTTTGCCTGAGACGAACCTCTGCCTGGACCTCAGCTTTTTTGATGTGCTCCTGTAACTTGAGTACCTCCTCGTTTGTATTACAAAAAACTTCTAGTCCGCCTTTTGGAGCCGGTTTGATAGCGTTGACGACAACTGGGATCTCACTAAGTGGAACCTTTTCTTGTAACTGTGTTCTTAGATCACGTGGATGGATACTCCCTAAAGGGTTGATGATCAGACTGGGTTTACTGAACTGTTTAAGCACTGCCGCAAAGGTTGGTTTCTGGGGCACAATCGCTGATGGTGTTGTCGCTGACTTCAAGTGGCTATGCCTTTCCCCTGTGTTCCTGGGAGCCTGCGTAGTTGCTGTTACTGGCAGGGAGTCCGTGTTTGTACTTGAAGTAACCACCTCAGGGTAAGGGGTGTTAGTGCCAGTGGTACAGCGCGGGATTACAGAAGTGTTCACGTCTTTGTTGACTACCTCTGTTCCACGTAATGCGATGTCCCGAAAGATCTCTAGAGTGGCTATGAGGCGTGGTAATATATTTTTATTACCTCGAACTGTATTGGCTATTTGTACGCTCTCGTCGAAGACCGCTTTTATTTTTCTCTATATGAGAAGTCAGTTGAAACTAAGTGATTTGGCAAATCTAGATCACTGCAGTGTGTGGAGGTACGCATTTCAGACATACTGCATTGAGTCTATTGTATGAAATCACTAATGATAAAAAAATATATAAATTATTCTGCTATTCCACAGAGTCACTAATTGCTATTGGAATCTTTAAAATTATGCACTAAGTCTCTAATTTCACTGTGTAGACTATCTCACTGAATGCTGTAGAAATCTCTATATTATGGCAATTAGAGGCACTATACTGAGCACTAAATTGTGGCACTATAACAAGGAACTATCTTAAGGCACTGTAATCTCTGTATTAAAGCACTGCTGTTGAAGTCTTATATTAGGAAGCTGTTGAGATCTCTATATTAAGGCACTGAGTCTCTAATTCACTGAATACACTAAATCACAAAGCCACTGCATAACTGTAGTTCACTTGAGCAGTGCTTAAAATTGAGCCCGCAGGAAGAATTACAATGTAAAGTGCACACAAATTATCACTTGCGCAGAACTTGAAACTGAGCACGTAGTGAGAGTTACAGTACACAACACAGCAAATGTGTGATGGAAATAATTAATTATTAATGCACAAAAGTTTCAGTAAGCACAATAAATAGCAGTACACATGATATTTTGTAAGTATACACATATATTTAAGTGATAAACACGTAAACCGAGAGGTTGTAGTGGTATGCCAGAGGCCCGAAGAATGTTAATAAGTCAAAGATAGCAAAGAGAAGAGATGAGTGATGAAAAATGGGGGAGAATGTAAGGAATAGCTGAAACGTGAACAGAAGGAGAATCGCAGGTGCAGAAAGAGTAGTAATAGGAGAGCCTGGACCTTAAAGAGGTTGCGGGTTTACAACAGGAAGAATGTGGAGGTGTTTCCACTAGAGGAAACTGTAAAAAAAAAAAAAAAAAAAAAAAAAATTCTTAAAATAGTTGCAAAAATTGCTCGAAAAAAAAAGGATTAATTAAAATATAAAAAAAGGTATGCGGAGGGTTGGGGTGGAAAGAAAGAGGGGGTCAGCAAAAGAAAAAAAAAAAAAAAAGAAGGTAAAGTATCAAGAGGGGAAAATGAAAAGAGGGCGCTATCTAATGTAGTTAAGGGGAAAACTTAGAAATTAAAAGGGAATAACAGGATAACAAGGGGATGAAAAGAAGAGTTTGAGGCCGCTAAGTTACATAGAAGCGAAGTTATCAGAGAAATAAAAAGAAGGGGAAGTCAGTTAAAGGGGGAAAGAAGAGGGGAAAAGGCTTGAAGACAGCTTAACTAGAAAGTCATAGAGGAAATAAAATTAATGTTGGACTGAGAACTTATACTACCCGTAACTTAAACCACAAAATACAGACATTTTAGTAGGAGAGAGAGAGAGGGAAAAAAAAAAAAAAAAAAAGGTTAGAAAGTGCAAACACAAAATTATTAAATTTATATCAATAGTCAGTAATTTATAATACAATCAGTAAATTTCATTATCATTAATCAATAAATTTACATCTATAAAGTATAAAAAGATTGTAACATAAACATGAATGGGCGAATAAATGACAAAGTTGAAGTTCGAAACATAAACAAAGCCGCGCGGTAAAAAGTTCTAATGTCACGGGTGTCAACAGGTTCTGTGCCAAGCGCGCATGCGCTTTGTAGGTGGAGGGGAAAGGTCGTTGTTAATACGCTAACCCTGAGGGGCTTCTTGAGAAAACAACAACCTTGCAACTCCCTGCGTCGAAAAATTCGACTTGGAAGAAGTTAGTAGGGGGAATACGATTTACGGATTATAAAAATAACACAAAAGTGTGCATAGCAGATGAACTAATAAACATAAATTCAAAGCAAGGGTACCGAAATAAAGAGTACAAGAAGACCTACTTTGCCGAGGATAAATGATGATGATATTCCAAATAGAAGCCGAGATATCCTAGAAGAATCCCGCAAAAATGACACTTTATGGACTCTAATTAAAATAATTATAACTCTGCTTAAACACACACCACAAACACAATTCTTGCACCGTTAGAAAGCGGAATGCGCCAGCTTTCTCCAGATATCTGTGTTGAGAACAGAAGGCAATTTGGTCGCGAGTAATCACTTAACAACGACGGAGCATAAAGCAGCACTTCATTTTCTTCTTCCGGTTCTTCATTCAAAAACATAGGCTCATGTGTAGACAATGGATGAGAATTTAAAAATTTCAATAACTCCGGAATTATAAGACGTAGGAACACAAATCAAGCATCAAAATTTGTAGCTTGTTGAGACCTTTACGATGTTACTAACCTTGTAGACACACGACAAATATTACCGCGGTTATAACTCGTTCAACGAGGAGCTCCTAACACACTGCTGCAGCGTTGTCACGGGGCAGGGTCCCATCTCCTTGAGCACCATACAGGGAGCAGTACGAACTTCGCTCGGATCCGAGGGTATCTGACCTCTCTTTCCCCTCCTACCAACCTTTCGAGGGAACTTTCTGCTCGCCGCAGATTTAGAGTGCCCCTATACTGCACAGGCACTATACATTTACAACACCCATGCCTTCTCCGACATTCGAACCCGGGCTCTTCGGTACGGTAGTCAACGTCGCTAACCGCTGTCCCGGTTGGGCGGTGAATAAGAAGTGAATGCTAATAAGCAATTTTTTTAAACTTCAATGAAATATGTGTTAGCAGGATTTAATCTTGCTGATTTTTCTTAATAAAACCTGATATTAAGTTATTCGTTAGCTGAAATTTTTTGCATATGTAAATTTACAAGCGTTGCACAAATCGCTTTTAAATCTTTCAGTTAGTTAAGCAAGGTATTGCTTTAATTTGAAAGACAAACATCTTTAGGAACATCGAATGCAGTACCTCTTGAGAACTGGCAGCTAATCATGTCGAAGATTAAAACGACGGATCTTGTTGGCAGCATAAAAAATACATACCCTGAAGCGTAATATAACATAACATGGTTAAAAAATGGAAAGATTAAGCTACAGACCTTTCTAATAGGAAAGGAAAAAACCGATATAACTTCCACTGATATTCAGCCTAAACACACACCAAGCCTATTTAGAATGAAGGAAAATTGGAAGTGGTACGAGTTTTCTTACCACAATGGATTTTTTAAAGAATCGGATGTTGCTTTATTTAATTTGACAACAAATAAAACTAACTCAGTGAATTAACTCAAAGGGACACAGAAAACTCTAAACTTACTTATTCAAAGGAGGTGCGCATGGGATGGAACAACAGCAACAATAGCGAGCAAAGACGTTTTGGACGTAACTGTACCTGTGCTCTGATTCTTGCATGGGAGGTTCTTCTGCATTGCCGAACACCATAATCTGTTCTCTCGGTGGAACACTGCATGGAAACAAGAAAAAGGTTAAACAAATTTAAAAAGAATATAGTTTCATCTTTTGATTCCCTATTTGTCAAATAGGTATTAAAAACTGACATTTTTCCACTATAAAATCTGCAAGCTCATTAATAAATAAGTAAAAATTCTCTGTATGCCCATTTGAGGGGACTTAGTACCTTAAAGTCAAATAAATTACCGATTTTTCAATTTTTCTAACAAAAGAACCTGAATATCCTTACTACACTGAAAAGAAATTTTGAAACGATGTGACGATAATAAATGGTATAATAAACTCTTAAAAATTTTGACAATGAATATCAGTGGAAGTTATATCAGTTTTTTTTCTTTTCCTATTAGAAATGTCTGTAGCTTAATCTTTCCATTTTTAACAACGTTATTTTAGCCATTAAATATGCCATCCCCCTCAGTGTTTACCGTTTTCTTTTCAATTTTTAATTGTTTCCGTAACTTAATAAAAATCAGTGTAAGAGAAAAGGAGTGTAATTAAATATGACTGCAACTATCCGTTAACCCTATTTATATATATAAACTTATTTATTTAAAAACTTAGTGAAGCTGGGAAAAAAGCATATTTTCACTTTTGAACTGGCAGGTTTATACTATATATATATAGTGAGAGAGAGCTCAGCAAATGTTTCTTTGTGTATTACCAATCAATTTTGCTATACTTCTTCAAAAATTGTAGTTATTTGTGATAAGACAAGAACAGAAAGAAGTGGCATAATGAAAGTAATGAAGTTCCTGACTGTAGCATTAATGAAAATCGTTTTGGAACAGACATTTAACTCTTTAATTAACTAGAATAATCCTAAATCAATTTAAAATGCAATTTATATACGAGACCAAATGGCTAAAATAAGAGAAGACATCCTATATGTTGCTGAGCGGTTTCAAATAAAATGTTTTACGTCTGTTGACATTTCAAATTTTGCTTTTGAAAAATTTAAAGAAAACGGCAAATTAATATTATTAATATTTATTATAATAATTTTAAAATTGATATAAATGTTTTATAAAATATATAATATTTTGTAGAGACATTAGGTATTTTTGGAGCCCGGAGAGATGAAAAATTACCAATCGCCTTCGCCGGGAATCGAACCACGGACCTCTGGAATACCGAACTAGCGTGCAGAACCACTACACCACGAAGGCACGCTAGGAAGGTGGGAGAAATACCTTATAAGTTAATTCATATATTAAAACTCTTTTGAATGTATTTATGAAACAAAAACAGGCAGTAGAAAAACTCTTGGACTTTAACATTATTATTTTTTGCAACTTTTCTGGCCAGATAAGGTTTTAAATAAAAGCTTGTAATTTATGCTTATATTAACCAATTAAAAAGTACTAGGTTTTGTTTTAGATATTTATGAAATGAAATTCAGTAATAAAAGTTTTAAGAAATTTGGAATGATTTAATGACCATTTAGACAGTTTACATTCTTTAAACTGCATTTTCTCAATTTTCAATTTTTCAATAAATCCTTCTAGTTACAAAACTTATGCAGATATGGACTAAACTATTTACCATTTTTACTGATTTCTTAAAATTATACATTTAATTGAAACAAGGATAGGTTTTGCAAAATACTGAAAAGAAACATTTTTGGAAGTGAAATGAGCTACAGACATTTTTAACACAAAAATGATCATATTACGTTTTTTTAAAAAGTTTTTACATAAAAATGTGCTCTTTTTTCAGAAACTAATTCATTAATTGCAAAATCGATCCTTAAAGTTATAAAGTACATTTTGATAAATACAAAAAAGAATTAAAGGCGAAAACGCTGGAAATTGTAAGAGAAGAAAGACAATTTAATTTTTTAATTTTTCTTCAAAAAATTTATATTAATTAGACAAAAATATTTTTTTTCAGCTTAAAATCATTTTGTCTTAAAAAAACCATTCAATGATATTTATAAAAAAAATAGACGAAGTTCTTAAATAAAAGTAATCATTCAAAAGGTACCGAGTTCCTTTTCCTTTGATGTGTAACCTATATTCGAAACATTAACTGTATACAAGAAAAAATGAAAATGCCGTTTATTTGACCAGTAAATGATACTCTTGATTAAGAGATCATCGCACTCAAGCGTGCGTGGAAGTTTTTCGATTAACGAGGAGGAGCCGTAGAGCTGTAGATAGAGCTAAAGAAACGCAAACTCATACCTAATGAGAAAGTGAATCCTGTTATGCAAAGTTATGTTCTAGCAAACAAGAATAACATTAAGTATGTTTATTCTTGTTTGCTAGAATAATGATATAGAGTGGATCAATGGAACTAAACGGAGGCAATGGAAAATTCCCTTCTTTCTCAAATTACCTATGACCATATTATTTATGTTTTTATCGAGCTTGTTTCAAACTGGTAGATTTATGTCAATCTGTCAATCGTTGAAATATAAATGAAGACGTTAAATCTGAGAACAAATACGTATATCATGAAACCCTAACCAGCCAGAACTGATACAGTCGTTCAATTTGTTTATGAATAAAAATAATATTCACTGTCGTTATATAATAAAAAAAAATATAATCCTGCCACTTGTTAGGTAACAAAACCAAATCTTTACCTTTAGTTATAATTAATTATAGGAAAGGTAATGAAAGATACGAAAGAGATTAAAGTCTGTGTGTTGCATGTTACCAATGATGCAATAGGGAAAATGAGAATTCAGGTGTTAAAAGTGAAGATGCCGAAAATAATAATATATCTGAAAAAATTTCTTACTGAATTATCTAATTTATTTTATTTATATTAATACTTAGTCAAGTTAATAAGTATTGATTGTTTTTACAGTTCTTTTTCAACACCTAGTATAAAATCGTTTTTATTTTTATTAGTTTTCGAGTTTTAACTTTTGCTGGGCTTAAATTCGAGGAAAAACAGTATGTTGTATGAAACTCTGTAAACATATACTATTCTACACGTTTTTAATATCTGTTATACAATCGTTTTTATTTTTATTAGTGTTTCAGTTCTAAACTTCTATTTGCCATAAATTCGAGCAAAGCAGCAACTATAAAAATTGTATAAGTCAGTAAAATAAAATTATTTCTTTATATTTATTTAAATGTTATTTAACTGCAATTCTTTTAGAAATCTAGCAAGCTTTCAGGAATTCCTTTTAATAAAATCAAAGGATCTGGAATAAAATTGAGTTAGGAAGCACTAAAATATTAAAAACTATTAACGTTTGAAGATTTTGTGTTAAATGAAAAGTTTTTTAACTTTACAAGCTATCAAATCTTAGCTTACTGTCCCAACGTCAAGCAGCAGTTAAAACTAAATGTTTATTACAACTGATATGCAATGAGATTTAAAATTTTTAGCCATAAACTAATGGGGAAAAGAGCCAAAGGAAAGCCCGATTTTGGATGGATGGACTGTATTGATAGCGACTTCAACATTATTACAAACTAAACAATCTGATATCGGCACTACATGCCTTTCTGGTACAGCCTATTAAATTACACACGCGTTTTGCTGCACTTCATTTAAACTTATTTCCACAAATTATTCTAATTTAATTAATCAGTCCTCAAGCCAAGTTGAAAATAACATCAAAAGTTGCAAATTTTGAAATTAAATATCCCGGTCGACTTTTGTCGTACGTGATTCAAACTTCGTATAAATTAATTTTTTCATAATGAGTACAAAACTTTCCAAATATAAGTATAGGAACCGGGAGACCGCATGAAAAGTTAGATTTCGTTATTTGTCCAAAAACGTTTTTTTAATTTGAGGTTGCCCAAGCATGAATATTTTCGTCATAAACACTTCTGTAATTGGAAATATATGAATATACCAATAATTGAGGAAATAAAGGCCGAATAAGACTTTTTTAAGCTGGGTAAGGGTATGTATATATACGTTTCGTATTGCCAATTGCAATAAAAAAGCGTGGTGCATATATAGATGTTATAGTAGTCCTATATACAAAATTTCAACGTTCTAAGGCTAGGTTTTGAGTTATGCGAGATACGTACGTACGTACGTAGAGACGTCACAGGGAAAAAAATCCATTTTTTTATGGACAATTCAGTAAGAATTGATTTTAAATCCATTTTACATTCCATTTTGGAGAAACGAGTCCTTTATTCTGCCCATAAGTAGAGACTTCACCAAAAAAGTAGTCCAAATGGATTCGGGAAGCATCAAAATGTGTATTTCGGTTGAAATCTGAAACCCGAAATTTTTCGCAATTACAATACTTCCTTTACTTAGTTAAAACAAGTAAAAATTCCTGTGAAAAGGAGAGCATGAGGGTTTTAAGGAAAGCCGTGGCTCAGCTTGGGCCGTTATGACTACAGAAGAAGATATGTAATAGTATACTTCAAAGCATACAGCGATTTAAACTGCTTAGATAGTCTGAGTTCTTTGACTTTATTAACAAAAGTTGGAATATGTTTGTACTAATTTATTTGTAGATAAAATTTACTATGCTTTTGCCTGTAGAGACAAATTTTGTTTCTATATCATTAATGTTAGCACAGCTGGGAAAACTAATTATTATTTTCACATAAATTAACAATAAACAAATTTATATGTGAATTCACTGAATATTCTAAAGAGACTCATATTTAGTCAAATGCCAAGCACATGAATACGATTTATATACAAAGAAACTGACAAATTACGCGGCATTCATCACTTCAAGGACGGAAGCAGACAAATCCTTGCTTTTCAAATCTCCTATTCGTTTTGTTTGCAAAATGACTTCTATCATAGAGTGCTTGCATTTAGTTTTCGGAGTACTTGCACGCACAGCGCACGAAACGTTTACAGTAAATTTATTACGGCGACAAAATGCACATGCAAAATAACTTGTATTTCAACAGCATATACGAAGTAGAAGTTAGGTTTTAGATTTTGTTTGAAACTGTTAAATCAAGTAACAGACGTTCCGTTCTTCTTAACTGTAGCACTTCGAGTAAAATTTCTAAAACATATTTAGTAGCTTTTAAATATAGGGTA